AGAAAGAATAAGAAAGAAAATAGAACAAGAAGAAGAAAAGGGAAGAAGAAGAAGAGAAGAAGAAGAAGAAAAATGAAGAAGAGAAAAAACGTGGAAAGGATAAGGAAGAAGAAGAAAAAGAAAAATTCATGGAAAGGATAAGGAGGAGGAAGAAGAAGAAATTGAGAAAATTGAGGAGGAAGAAAGAGAAAAAAAAAATGAGAGAGGAATAGAGCAGTTACAAGAGATATGATTGTAATCAGTTTTTTATTTTATTAATCTCGTTTGGTATGAATTGGAGTAGTTTTGGAATTGTGGAGAGTGAGCACTTTTATGCAATGTACTTTTAATAGAGGGTTACTTATGTATTTTTCCCCTCCTGTGTATTACACGGGTGCTTGTTAAAAAATTATTCTTAAATTTTAAAATTAATGAGAAAACTATATTACATTTAGTTTACTTTTTTACAAAAAAAAATATATTACTATATATTTTAGAATGATATGTGTTACTTATGACTTACATGTGTTATATTATATTAGTTTTTATAACTTATATCATATAACTACTTGAAATATAAATATATTAGTTGATAGATAATTTTATTTTTCTAATTAATATTAAAAATAATTTTATTATTGTTATAAAGATAAATATAAATTATTTTTTTATACATACAATATGGATCTTAAATCGAAGCTCGTCAAAAGAAGATTAATTTGATATATTACATATGTAAAACTGATAAAAAAATATAAAAGTTATTAAATTTTAAAATATATATACAATTTAATAGTTATAATAAGGAATGATATTAAAATGCAATTAATACATGTAACATGACCATAAATAATCAACATATTTATGGTAATCCGAACCTAATTATTTTTAGTTTGGAATTAAAATAAAATTTACTCAAGCCTAATAACGAAACATGTAATTTTGCCACATAGAATTCCGAAGCACCAGAAGCAGCCACATAGGCTCAGCGCGTTCTGGATTAATATATAGGGGAGGAGATAACATAATAGTTATTATATTTTTATTTCATTATTAATACAGTACTTTTTTTTTTTTTAATTTCACTTCTACCAATCTAATATTATCTTTTTGACTTTTTTATATCAAAAATATTTTATCTTAACCATTTTCACTTTTTTAAATCCGAATGTGATGGTTAATTTGTAAAAACAAATTTATGAAAAATATAAAACTTTTGTACAACTTGATTTTATGTTGATCAAATGATTTTTTGTATACAATCTTTATATGTCCATCTAATTACTCTCTTCTTGGACTTGAGTTTGACCTTCAAATTATATTTGACAAATGGATCTCATTCGGACTTGATCTTAAATTTCTCTAACCCTAATTTGGAAGTCCTAAATTTCTCTAACCCTAATTTGGAGTCGAATGATTTATTCACGTATTACATATTAGAATTGGCTTTTATTGAAGATCACTTTTTGACGTTTCTTCTTATAAAATTGTTAAATTGGTTTTGCATATTTCAGAGAAAATAATGTATTTTTGCTATAAAAAAATATTTATGATCAATTTTGTAAATTTTAGGATCAAATATGCAACTCAAATATTCTATGAGACCAATTTTGTAATTTTTGTACTTTTGCATCACCATCTAAGGCCAATCAATATTCCATTGATATATTAATAGAATTATGATTTTGAGACAAAATTGCAACAAAATAAATTAAATGACAAGTTTTTGTAATCATATTGGAAACACGTCCAATTTGGCTAAACTTTGCAACTTTTTCTTTTCAGATAGGATATAGCTCACAACTATATTCCTTTTGACATTTTTTTAACTAAAAGAAAAAATCTCCTCAAAAGGAAATTAAAATTGCGACAATGGGCACCCCCCTTCTCTTCTTGTTGTGTGGTCATCCCACTATCCACCACTAAAACCATCTGCTGCAGAAGCGTCTTTCTGAGCTCGTCTGGTCACACGCAAACCTTCCCGAGCCCCACGGGGGTGTTGCTCGTCTTCGGGACTCCCGAACAACTCTCTTTGACTCTGGTCAGATCCCAACATTCTCTTCAGTCGCCCGTTTTGAGGTGCAAAACAAACCAAGATACAATGGTGAATAATCAGCAAGCTAAAAGAGAAAAAAAAATGCACTAAAAAAATATGCTGAAATTGAAAATGAGAGAACGGAAACAAATCTCCCTTTCGTTCGCTGGAATCTGGCCGGTTAATAAAAACCATGGTTTTCAAAACCGGACCGGTCATCGAACCGGTGAAGCTACTGGTTCAATGGTTCACTGGTCGGACCAGTGGTCAAACCGATTTAATTAATATATATTTTTTATTTATTTTATATGTATAACATATAATTATATATATATATATCATTAATTTTATTAATTTTATAGTGTATGACATTTCTCTGAATAATAACTCAATATTAAATACAACAAATAATGTTGATTAATGTCTATAAGTAATTTTGAAAATGACAAATGAATTGGGCCAAACATAAAAATACACTTTCCCACTAGTCTTTTTAGTTTGTAGGGCCCAATCGAGAGTGTGGTGGGCTTCAAATCAGGCCCATTTCCTTCAAATCATCATGGCCCAGTTTTTCTCCCATATGTCTTTGTCCCACATTGGAAGTGGAATGCAATGCAACTGTACATTTAACATAGAACTAAGGCAACAAGTGTCAGATTGAACTAGCCGCTTGGCCGTGTGAATCGTCCCCGGCTTGCCGATTTTACCGGTTTTTGGCATAGACGGTTACGCACATCAAACTGAACCGGAGTGCTAGCCGGTTCCCGGTTAAACCGGTCGGACCGGGCGGTCCGATCCGGTTTTGACAACTTTGATAAAAACACGAAGTCTCCCGGCTCAGATCATCCTTAGATCTAGCACCCTGGGTGAGTCATGGCTCGGTGGTGGTCCACGAACGGCGGCCCTGGTTCCTCGGCCATATCCCTAGGTTGCATGCTACACGTGAGCCAAGCCTGAGCCCAGCTCCGTATCCAAGTCCTCTCCTCCGCACACAGAGTCACCCGAGGCACCACAAAGGCCTGTGACTGAAGTGAGGAAGAGGGACAATGGCGGCACTCCGATAACACTCACAGCGGCATTCACACTCGAAGAAAAAGTGTGAGAGAATAGAGAGAGAAGGGAGGGAGAGAGAGAGAGAGAGAGAGAGAGAGAGAGAGAGAGAGAGAGAGAGAGAGAGAGTTCAGTCGCAGTGGGAGAGAAAAGAGAGTGAGAGAGTGATGTGTAAGAAAAAGGGCAAGACAAGCTATGTAAGAGTCAATATGGATGGTGGGGATTTAATCCCGAAATCCAACGGTCTAGAGCCATCCATGCCAATTAAGTGTGTGGGGGTCAGGCCTAGACGAGAGTTGAGCCAGGGCTTCCATGGATCTGAGATAAGGATTGGGTTTGGGCCAAATATCCCAACACTTTTTGTCTGCTCTTCTCCTCCCGCCACGAGCTCGGCTTGACGTTGACAACCCCTCCTCTTCGCCTAGCTTTTTCAGTTGTGGATGGAGACCAACAACGATAGAACTTCCATCGAGCCTTCCACCTTGCCTACTCCGTTATGGTCGTGCGTGGGGATCAAATACAGCGACTCATTCAACTGTGTTTTTGGGATTGACTCTTGGCGTCTAGCAAACTCCCGATTGAAGCTTTTTGAGGTTCAGATATGGACTCTCGCCATATCTGTATAGTCGTTCGAGTTCTGACAAGAGTTTAGTTCTGAGGGCTTGAGATTTGCGGTCTCTTTTTGTTTTTGGTCTAGAATGTGGCCTGTGTGTTGGGTATTTGGCATTAGTAGCGACTTCGCGACTAGTAAGGGAATCTTTATTATATGTTTTGTTGTGTTTTAGGTGTGTGTGTGTGTGTGTTGTAAGTATTTTTTACCGGAGTTAGATCAAAAGATTCGGCACCAGGTCGTGTCTCTCGAGGAAGGTCAGCCGAATTATTTTGTACGATTATTCAAACACAAAAATGGAAAATAAAAGAAGTGAAAATCCTAAACATTCTAAATCAAGTTTGGAGGTTTGTTTATCGACTAC